GAAAAAAGCTCCCTTCTCTCTTCCCATTGCCACTGCCACCTCTGGGATCAAAATGCACCATCAAAGATGCTTGAGGACCCCTTCTGATACGAGGTTTGAGTGACTCAGTCCTTTAACACATCAATCCAGACACTCCAGAGGAATGCAGCCCCTGCATGACAGCCTTCAGCAGGGGGATTTTCCCTTAGATCTGTCCCAGTGCTGGCTGTGGGTGTGTGATGTGCACACAAGGTAGGCAGGGCTCAGAGATTTCCCTGCCCACGCTGCCTCTGCAGGAGCAGGGCTGTGGAGGTTTCCATCAGACTTGTAAAAGTGCCAAAAGAACCCTCCACAGTCTGCTGGGAGAATAATTAGAGTTGGCAAGTTTGCACAACAAGCAGTTCTTGTACACAGTATTAATGGGTGAGAGGTAGAGTCTGTGGTTTTTTCACTTAATAATGCATGGAATCTCCTAGATATTCCAAGGATCTCTCTCTGGAGCTGTGCTTTGTGATCACAGGCATAACTAATGGTCAGGAGTGATTACATACTGATTAAAACTACTTAAGAATCTCATCTGTCCAGGAAGGGAATGCCAGGCTCTGCAGCAGGAGGCAAGAGCTCGTCCCTATTTCATTTCAATCACACCCATCCATCTGAAAGACTCTGCTTTGCACATCAAACAGGATCCAGGACTCACAGGGAATCTGATGTGACAGAATTAGACCTTGAAGTTGCCATCTTTGGTGAATTATCTTCCCCTTCTTGGCAGCCAATGGATGTGGTCAGGGAAGTGTAGAACCAGATTCTTGTTTGGTGCCTGTACCAAACAGCAGTGTTTCCACAGGAGGTGAGAGTTGCTTCATGTGACACATTTTGTGTCTTCTGTCTTCTGAATCCAAAACCTCTGGAGAGCCCATGGGAAGCCTGTGTTTCTCTGTGTCTCTCTTTCCATGGATTTAGTCTGAAAAACTTGTATAAAAATGACAAATTCATGGGCTAGGGAGTTGGACCATGGGCTGGGATGTTGGGCCATGGGTTGGACCATTCAGAGATGATGGTGATGGTGTGAGGGTGGGCAGTACCCACTGAGATGTTTACACCATTAGACTGTCAGGTACTTTATCTGAAGTAGATGCAGACTCTGCAGGACAAAGGGTTGTACAGTATATAAAAGGGAATTTTGTCACTGGTCTCGATCACAGTGACACAGAACATCCCATTTACCCATGGATGTTTATTTTTTGGTGTCAGGATGTAAATGAGCCTCTTTCCAAATCCAAGCTGAAGCACAGCAATACTTTAGTGAGTGTCAGAAAGGACAGCAAATCAAATCTGTGTTCCTGAGCCACGCTGCCATTGTGGGAAGCTCTGCTGACAGTTATGAATGTCACTCATCAAAACGCCCTCACACAGTTCTGATAAGTCCAAATAATACTATTTTATAGACAATGTCACTGTCACTGCAGAGGGCAAAAAAGTCATCTTTTAAATTCATTTCAGATGTAATCTGAATGCACCTGTGTTGTCTATGAAGTGTTTTCTGAACACAGCCAAATAAATTTGGTGTCAGCTGCCACGGGAACTGTCCTTCTGAATAATCTCCTGTGTTGTCTAAAATGATTGCACATTTCAAACATATAGGTTGGCACTTCATTTGTTTGTTTGTTTGCTTGCTTACTAATTTTTAGCAGAGTTACTACCAAGTTGCCTCTACTCATTTATGGTTCCAGACTTCTAAAGTCTCCTTGTGTGTTTTGCATTTTCATGGTTCATTCATTCTATTTAAATGATTTGTGGGGCAGAGCTGCACCTGGCCCAAGGTGTGATGGCAGAAAATATCCCCATTTAGTAGCATGACACTCCATTATGTGGCAGAGTCACTGCTCTAACATTCTTTTAAAAAGGGAGGGAGAAATATACACAAATTTTGCCGCACCAAAGTAGTGAAATATTTGAATTCTACCTCCATGCCTTTGAATTTGGAAAGCTAAATATAGAGAGGGTAGAAGTGAGGGGAACTGTAAACAAAAAATGAATACATGGGATAAATCTAAATCCAATCTGTGGCACTTGTCACACCTCCCCATCAAACCACTCTGTTGGCTTCTTTTGTGGTTGTTGGGGATGATGGTCCAGCATCCCAATCGGGCTCTTGATGAGGTCTGAGCAGCCCTGGAAACAATGGCAATTACTTCTAATAAGGTCAGAAGCTAATGAAGTATAAAAAGAAAAGTCTCATAACTGCACTTCAAAGAAAGTGTTTGCAATCATCTCTGCACATCTGATATCCCAAATATCCCCCCTGTGCCCAGCACGCATATTTATGGCACAGCTCTCACACCTCTTGACTTCCTTACACAGGTGCTTTCCAAACCTAAGTAAATATGAATTTTGTGTTCAATTTCCCACACAAATCACTAAATTAGATGCACAGGCAGCTTCCACTGCGTCACAAGAGCTTTTTGTAATGGTTATTTCATACTGCACTAGTTATTTTTAATAACTGAAGACATTCTTAGGAAAGTTTGAGAGCTTTCCAAGAAAGGATTACAGCTTGAGTCTGCAAGATGTTGAATTTCATAGGATTTGAGTCAGGGAAGCATTTCTAGGGCTTATGAGTAGAGAATTATTTGGCATTGCTTTGCTGCAGTGATTAGTGGGATGTCATGCTCAGAGGTTTGAGTTTAGGGTGGCAGCAGGAGCAGGTAGCAGGGAGCTGCCACCCACCACTGAACCAACATGGCCTTAAAATTGTCTGGCTTTATATACCAACCAGCCACAACCACCAAAATTGCCTTAAAATTGTCTGGCTCCTACCTGACAAAAATAGTGCCATAATCTTAAAGGCTGTGTAGGTTTCTTTGACAGGAGAATGAGTAGGTTAAATGAGATACCTGCTTTGTGTTAGAAGAATTCTGAAGCCTTAAAGACCTACTTATCCAATGAAACATTTTTTGCCCTCAGGGGCAGTTTCACAGAGGCGTCTTTTCCAGAGGATTTTCACAGGTAGTTAAACAGAACACATTTTTTAAAAATCTTATCTGTTAACTCATTAACAGAGTTAATGACCTAAAAAGCTTGCTTGGGGTTTCTGAGAGAGATGAGGAGCCGGAGTATCAGCTCCTGCCATAAGGACAGCTGGGGATCTGGGTCATTGCACTGAGGATTAATTGGTACAACCTGGTGGAAAGGTATGAAAATCATCTTGTCAGGTCCTTGCCAGGTCATTCTGCACAGCTCTCAAACTCCTGGGCCCACACAACTGGAGCTGTGAGTCAGGCTGGCCCAGACCACCAAGGAAATCAAAGGAATCCAAATCAACAAGAAGATAAAGGCTGTGACCAAGAGTTGTGTGACCATGTGCATGGAAGCAGGACTAGAAACCCTCAGGGGATAAACTCCTTACTGAATCAAGAAGCTGCAGTACACACACAGGAAAATGCAAACTAATTTAATTTTTTAAAATAGTTTTATTAAGTATATGACAGAAGGCATATTGAAAAACATTCATGACCTTCTATTAATGCCTTTTAAAATGAAATATCACAGATATATTTGACAGAAATAAAGGGTATTAAAAACAAGCACTGAAGGCTAATTATTTTGTATATATTTTGGTTTTTTTCAGAGAAAATAAAAGTTATGACATAAGGCTAAAATTTAAGTCCTACTGAAGTCAAAGACCACTATTCTTCAAATAAACAAAAGAATTTGCAGAAAAGGTTTTGTACAAGAAGACCAGAATGACCTAGTTTTAAACGTACAGTGTATTTATGAAAGTATTTTTACAAACCTTTCTTCATATTGTATACACAAGTGACAAGAAAATACAGTTCTTCAAAGACAAAACATGAAAAAATATGATCTGACCAAATATGGGTACCATTGAAACAAAGAAAAAGGAGAACTAACTTTTGGACAAGTTTTAGCTTTGGATTTGGGTGATCTGCCTGAAAAGTCCTTTTTTTTATCTAATCAAATCCACAAAATTCCACAGAAGTCTGATGATTCAACTGCATGATGCCACGCTCAGCATCCACAGCTCTTGGGCAACAGCTGCTTGGTACAAAATACATCAGAGAGCAAATCTTCCCAGATCTAAATTATCACTGTAGAAGGATGAGAGCCCTCCTACATGGTCTCAGCTCCATCACTGACCTGGCAAACCTGACTTTGTGCAGCAGGGTGGCATGAGGCCAGCAGGAATTGCAGTGCCAGCAGCAGGGAGGTGCCCATTCCAGCCCAAACGAGGGGGAGGCAGCTGGGTTTGGATTCCCTCCAGCATGGATGCAAATGAAGCAGGTGAAAATAAAGCCTGGCAAAAGGTCCCAGCTCTGAGACAGTGCTCAAAAATCACTAATTGTGATTAGTGTGAGGCACAAAGTGAGCAGAGTGCACTGTGCACAGGTTTAATGCATTGCTATCCATTGTATTCCCCTTTTCTAGCAAGGGGATACCTGTGCTCAGCAGGGCTTTTAGGCAGCTCAGGGCATTGGATTCCACTTCAGCTCTGGCATGGCCAAGCTTTATTCACTGATGCTCCCCTGTGCTTCAGTTCTTCATTTGTACAATTAATTAATAGTGGCAACACTTACTGTCTCACCAGGGCGTTGCAAAGCAAAAGCTCACTAGAAATGGTGAGGCACTCAGAAATTGGATAATAAGCACTTTGTAACCTCCTAGGGAAAAATTAAATTTGCACTGTTGGAATGTAGGTCAAGGGTTAAGCTTGAGATTAAATTTCTGCCCTGCACAAAGCACCTGAAGGAGGACTCCTGTCTCATGCCAGCCTTGTCCTGGCCCCCTGCAAAACATCACATTTCCCTTTTCTCTGGGAAATGGGGAATATCCAAAGGAAAATCTTGCAGGACCTTTGGTAGGCAAGCAGATACTGCAGTGTCCCAGTAGTTTATCAGAATCAGGACTTGTTTCTGTTCTAGTCTTCTCCTGCAACAAAGAAGAGGATGCACATGGCAGAGAATAGAGTAAAATTTTAAAACCTAGTGTGATTTCAGAGCTGGTGTTCACTTGAGCAACCCAAAAGTCATTTACCATTCAGCCCATGAGAACAGGTTTAAACTTCATTTGTGCCATTCATTTCCTTCTTTAATCCTTCTCCCTTCTCTTTCAAAGGTTCCAGCTCAGGCCCATCCTGTGTGGAGTCTTTGTTCCAGTTTTTTTGGCCTTCACTTTCTGTCCTTACAGATTTAGGATCCTCTTCTTTTGCCTTTCTTTCCTTCTCCTCCTTGGCAAGCATACGATAATTATAATAATTCATGATGAACAGAAAGGTTCCTGCCAGGACCATCACAGATCCACATTTAATGAACATGTATTTATAGTCTCCAAAGGTATCGATAAGAATTCCTGTAAAATATAAATTTAAAAAAAAAAAGGAAATTTAGAGATGAAGGGAAGGGTATTGTGTTTTTGGATGCTGTATATCAAGGAACAGCCTTGGGGCTTTAGGATAAAATATTTTCTGAACTTCTGATCTCTTCCACAAACACTCTGAGCCTGCAAATACTGAACATGTGCTGCACTATACAGCCTGTGGGTAGTTGACATTGGTACAGGTAATGCTCTGATAATTTGCACAGTTCAGTGGATGGGGACAGAACCTACACTGCAAAGTCTGCACCTTTTCACCACACCTATTTTTTTCCATGCTCGTCCCATCACAGAGCCTGCAGGCAGCCTTCCCACTAACTCCAATGATCAATTACAAGGATGTCCATTTTCTGTTTGGCTTGGCAGCCAAAAAGCAGCAGCTTTTGGGAAGACTTTCATGAGAAGGCACCTGCCCACTGGGTCTCATCTCAGGCTCCTGGCAAAGACCCTGTGATTTATTCCACCATGCAGCATTAGAGGGGGCTCAGCTTTTGGTCACAGCTGCCCTTTCTGCAGTTACACTCTTGATCCAAAGAGGAAAGGGCACAGCGTGAAACTGGAAAACATTAGTTCCAGGGAAAGCAAAGATGATGCTGTCAGTGTCAGATAATTTCAATGCCAAGACAAATGTGACAGGTTCCTCTCAAAGGTTAATGCCTCTGCTATGGAGTTACAGAGTAATTGAAGGGAGATGGCTTAATTGAAATGTCACCGTTCTCCATTATGTCAAAATGTAATGCAAATCTTATTGGGATTATGATCCTGAGCATTAATTCCCATTTACTGGGCAACACAGACCATTCTCAACATCCCAAATCCTAATTAAAGTAAGACCCACTCCTAACCTGGCCTTCACAATACAATCTTCCCTGAAACTGGCCCATCATCCCTTAGCTCTCTGACGTTTTGGAAAATGTTCTTCTCCTCAGAAAGAGGGACCTTTAATTACATCCCAATTGACCCTTAATGTTTAAAAACTGATGATTAATTATCCTGGTGCATTGCACTAACAAGGGTTTTTATGGTCACCAAATAGATTTCCTGATCACAATAATAATAATTTTTAACTGGTTTTGGTCAGTGGCTTTTCCTGAGTCATCCCTAGCTGACTTGGTACACCATTCTCCATGCACTGTATTTTTCATGCTACTGGTGAAACATCAACCAAACGTTAATTGCAACAATTTTTCCTTTTCTGCTCATCAGGATGACCTAGAGGTCTCCTAAATAGGCTTCAATGAGAGTTTTAATGAGTAGAGTATTGGAAAATTCAACAGTAGGATAGTCTTGCCTCTTTTCCTTTGAGGATAAGATAAAGTCATAAAACACATTGGGAACAATTTACTTAGTTCATTAAAGCAGAACCCTGCAGTAGGTTATTAAAATGCCAAAGAACCAATAAATTTGCTGCTTATTAAAATGGTGGGGAAAACCCTACAAAACTAATATTACTGATTATTACACAGAACTGTTTTAGCCTCATTAGCAGTCTCTGGTCATTAACTTAATCTCCCACACAGAAAATTACATAATTCAGAAAACGGCCATTTTAAAATTGCATTTTCTTTTGTTTGTCATTAATTAAATAATGAATCTCTAAGACAGCAAGAGGATACAGCTGCTTCTGTCACACTGTATGAGCTACCCAGTAATATGAAGAATTAAACAGCTCTGCAGGATGTGTCATATGAAGCATTAGCCAGATCTCAGTTTTGAATCCAGGAAAGGGGTTCAAACTGCAAAAGGAACACATGCTATAGAAGGAATATTAAGGCTGTTAAATCACAGGAGATCACTGCCCTTATTTATCTTTAAATGACTGAAAGTCCTCCTGGAGACTCTGTACTGTCTCTTGGTGGGCTCTGCCTTTTGATATTTCAAACCATGCCATCCAAAATAAATATTTTTAAAATTGTTTTTAGAACAGACTTAAATCTTTCACTAATAGGAAAGTGAAAAAATCTTACACTAATAGGATTGAAATTCCTAAGTGGCATACTCAGAGCCTTAGAGACAAACAGCAAAGTTTGAGTCAACAACAGGCTTTCATAGAACTGTGGTGTTTTACTTAAATCGTGGTGGACTCCAGCCTTTTGCAAAAGGAGGAATGTCCAGCAAGAGCTGTCTGAAGTGCAAGGTGCTTGGTTCTGGAGGAAGTCCCACTCTGCAAGTTCATTTCAAATGTCTGAAGGGATCCAGGATTAAAAGATGACTCTCCAAGACTCACTCCAACAGAAAAGAGGAAAGAGGAAATGCTGGAGGAGACATCAAGGACACCTTTTCCTGTGCAGTTACTAGTGGAAAAATGGCGATTCTGAGGAAGAGAAAACACATCTAGAATAATTTCATGTCTCCCTGATTTTTTAAGATTTTCTAAGCCTTCTGATGTTTACATTCTTATAGTGAACTTTCTCTCACACTTTCTGTAAATAACTTATTGTTTTGCATTATTTTATGAAAGAAGAGAAATCTGATTGGTTTGTCCAGTGTCATTGGGGAGGTGGCACTTTCACCCTCCAATCCACTGTCTCTTTTAGAAAGCTATAAATGTCGGAGTCAGAAAATAAACTTCCCTTTTTCCTCACCTTGAGAGCAGCGGTGCATGCACTTGTGTTGTTTCGCATCCTATAGTGACAATTTCCCACAAGTCTAAATCCCAGCTGGATTTAGACTTTTGCTGTGCTTGCAAAAGTGTAAATCCAAGTGAGAGCAGGGGAGGACACACACTCACCTCCGATGGGGGGTCCCAGCAGGATGGTGCAGCACTCGGCGATGGTGACCAGCCCGACGGCGCTGGTGAAGCGGGCAGCCCCCACCAGGTCCATCAGCGTCTCGAAGAGCATGGCACACACCATGCCAAAGGCCAGCCCAAAGAAGCTGGAGTAGACGATGAGGCCCGTGTAGCTGGAGGCCAGCGGGCACAGGAGGTGGCAGGCGCCGTTGAAGGCGATGGCGAAGCTGAAGAAGTACTGGATCCGCGGCCTCACCCACCTGCTGTTGGCAATGATGCCCGTGGCGGGGCGAGCAACCATGTCCACAATGGCCAGGATGGAGAGCAGGAAAGCAGCTGAATATTCATCTACGCCAGTGTGCTTGGCATAGGGTGCCAGGAAAACGATGGGGGCGAAGAACCCCAGGAACATCAGCACGTTTCCGATCAGGTAAATCAAGAACCCTCTGTGTTTAAAGAGGGAGAAATCAAGGTACTGATTGACTTTTTCAAAGCAGTCCTTTTCTCCTTCCTCTTCTGTTTTGCTCTCCATGGGGCCATCTTCAGTGATCTTTCCTTTCAGGGCATCCTTCCCTTCCTCAGTCACCTGGGTTTTGACCTGTGCTGTGCCTGGCCCGATGGGTCTGAAGAGAGCTCCTGCCACACAGCAGTTTAATAAAATTGCCCCAAGAATTAAAAAGCTGCCCCTCCAGCCAAAATTGTCAAAAAGGAATTGGTTGAGAGGTGCCAGGGTGCAAAGCATCACGGGGCTCCCTGCCATAGCAAGGCCATTGGCAAGGGGTCTTCTCTTCAAGAAGTATTTCCCTATGATTATCACTGATGGCTGAAGGTTGAGAGCAAGGCCAAATCCTGGAAAACAGTTCAGATAAACAAAGGAAGATTTGAACACGTTTCTCCTCAGCTCACTGTTTAAGGAAATTCACAGTCAATTGGCTCACTGGTGGCTCTTCAACACAACAATCTGGATGAAAATTTTGCTCAGGATGTCCCTGAGTTCTGGCTGCCACATTTGGGTAACCAGACCCCAGAAACACTCTTTCAGTCAGAGAAAGCCCTTCCCTTTGCACTGCAAATCTCTTGGATGGCAAAACTAGCACCAAGAGCTTGCTTCAGAGTGAAACAAAACTATTCCCTCATGGAATCCTGGGTTCTGTCCACACTCAACAGCCTTGCTGGGAGAGAGGACTGATCTGTTTTTAAAAAATGGCAACTCCCAGTTTGAGGAAGATTGTTTTGGCTTGGACAGTCTCAACCACCAAAGTTCATCCATCCAGGGCTGGCCTCCCCTTCCATGGGCACCCAACTCTGCTGCTGGGCAGCCAGACCTGCACAGAAAATAACACCACCCTCCTCAGCCACCCTCCTCATCCTCCTCAGCCAGGACTGATTTGGTGCTGTGAGCAGTTCAGGTCTGATCCAAAAGATTAAGAGGTCTGCAAGTACACAGCAAAACAGCTACTGAGGATGCTAATTACACAGGACCCCAGAGTGTGTCTTTTAATTGGAATTTATTTTTATTGCATTTAGATATATAAATGCCATTATAAATCTGCATTGCTAATTCAGTTGGCCAGCTTTTCCTGCACAGGTGGAACCTGCAGGCAGAAATGCCAAATGCTGTGGTGGTCTCAATTTTCTGTGGTTCTGTTTGGGAGCACTGACAAATAGAATCATAGAATCACAGAACCAGTAAGGCTGGAAAAGACCCCCAAGACCATGGAGTCCAACCTCTGACCAGTCATTACCTTATAAACCAGACCAGAGCTCTGAGTGCCACCTCCAGCTTTTTCTTGAACACTTCCAAGGATGGTGAATCCACCACCATCTGGGCAACCCATTCCAAGGCTTAATCACCTTTTCAGTGAAAAAATTCTTCCTGATATCCAACCATTCCTCCTGATGCCCAACACCAATAGTCAATAATTAAACATCAATAGTATTTTCAAGCATTTCTTTGACATGCAGTATTTTCATAAAAAGCTCATTTTTTCAGAACTCCATCAAAATGGCATTTAAAAGTCATGCCACATATTTTCCACTCCATCATCCAGGAAAGAATGAGCCACATTAGAACAAAGCAGAAATGTAATCCTTGAAGTGATTATATCAGAGAACATGAATCCTGAAAATAGGGTCATGCAGATTTTTTCTTGTTCATTAGTCGATATAATTAGTTTGTTTAACTGTGCAGTACATAATTAGGCATATTGCTTTACAGAAGAGAATTTACAAAGGTCAAGGTCCTCAAAATTAATTAAGGAACACTATCATTAGTCACTGATAGAGTAGAATCCAACTGATGCAGCAGAATCCAGCCAATGCTGGATAGTTTCAGTTTAAATGGGTTTACAAAATTATGATTTTTGCCAAGTCTAAAGTTATTTTTTTAAATTACTTTGAAGTTTACAACATTAAAAATAAATTGAAATGGCAACACATTAAAGTAATTCTGGATAGAGAACATTCTCAGCATGAACTTTTTTAGATAGTCCATATGTTGTGCAGGGCACATCTTTGGGAAGTACAGCCTGCTTGTAATGGCTATAGGGCCAAATTCAGGGTGACCTGGGAACCACAGAGGAAAACCACAGCCCTGATTAGATAACACCTTTGACAGTGCTGAGATACAGAAATGAATCTTTTTCCACCTGAGAAGATGCAGCACAGCAGGTGAGAGTTTGCATTAGCTCCCCATTTCCCAGGCTTGTCAGTAAGGGCAGAAATTGAACCATCATTTCCACAGAGTCATTTTTGGTAGGGACACACCACACATCTTCCAAAGGAGGAAAATCAGACTGGATGCCAGCTACCCACTTAAACAATAATCATCTCAATTTTTTTTATTATATGAACATTAATTTGCCAGTCAGACAAATCTAATTTAATATTACCTCATGCTCTTCCCATTAATTAAATTTGGAGAGTTTCAAATTGAATAACTGGAATTTCAATTTACTTTAAGCTTTTGGCTGACTTTAAGAGGAAATATTTGCATCCATTTTATTGCAGTTTTCAGAAGCTACAGCAGCTTTTCCATAGCTGGAATTGTTACTCAATAACCACATTTTCTCCCCAGGGATATGACAGAGAGGTCTGTCAGTGGAGCTGCAAGAACAGAAGCACACCTGTGCCAGAGGGAGGGTCCTTTCCTGGATTAAATACATCTCACTCATATCAGAAGGAAATAAGTGGTGCTACAGGACTCGCTGTGTAGTTATTGATCTTGTTCTCACTTTATTAGCAAGGAACATTTGACCAGGTATTTCAGTGTTCAACACTCTACAGCCATGGCAAAGACTCTGCTCTCATTAGTCCATGTGCCTCACCCAAGATCCCATTTTATTTCATGGCAGTCTAATTGGAGCAGATTGAACTAAACTCTGACCAGTCGTTACCACCTTGCAATCAGCTTTAAAATTTGCTGCTTCTACCTCAGAATTCAAAAGAGGTTGCATGTTGAAATCCCTACTTAATGCATGCAGGCTGGCATCTGTCCAGGTGGACAGCTTGCAAACCCCATTTCTTTTTCTAAGTGCTGTAGGGAAACAAATGGGAAGGGGCTGTGGGGTTTCCTGTGCATGCAAAGTGCCTCATGCAGCCCAGAGAGCCATCAAGGACAGAGCTGCCTCCACCAGCAGAGCCTGGCTCCTGCTCTGCATGCAAATGGAAACAGGCATAATCAAGTCAGCAGCTGAGGTTGCTGCAAACAGATACTTCCTGCTCTGCTCCTCTGAAGACATTTCTATTAATATGCCAAAGGCACAGCACTGTAGCAGAGACCTCCCTGTACCAAGACCTTGTTTTTACCTCCATCCCTGTGACTTACATGAGCCCAGGCTTTTACATGAGCCTGTTTTCTTTCCAGGCTGGTAGCAAGGAGGCTACAAAGAGTGTGATGTTTACAAGTTGCTTTACAGTTACTGCAAATCCCCTTCACAAAAGCCTCTCTCCTCGTGCAGCAGCACTGTCACAGCTGTGTGATGGGCAGGTGGCTTCCTAATTGCCCTTGAATGCTTCCATGCTAGGCCTGACCAGCAAAGATACTTCAAGCTTAATTGGAGGCATCAAGCGTGTTAGCAGGCTTGCAAGCATCTCCCTTTCTCTGTCAAATTAATATTCCTTCCCCACACACCCCTGTGCCTGGGGATGATGGGTTATCAGCCAGCACCTCATCCCCACAGCTGCCCTTGCTCAGCAGGCAGGAGGAAAAGATGTGTGATGGTGTTCACAGGGGGTTTCAGATTGGGGAAGAGATGAGGATCTGACTCCATGCTTCAGAAGGCTTGATTTATTATTTTTTGACATATATTACATTAAAACTATAGTAAAAGAATAGAAGAAAAGGTTTCATCAGAAGGCCAGCTAAGAATAGAATAGCCAAGAATGATAACAAAGGCTTGTGTGTTGGACAGAGTCCAAGCCAGCTGACTGTGATTGGCCATTAATTAGAAACAACCACATGAGACCAATCACAGATGCACCTGTTGCATTCCACAGCAGCAAATAATCATTGTTTTCATTTGTTCCTGAGGCCTCTCAGCTTCTCAGGAGGAAAAATCCTAAAGAAAGGATTTTCCATAAAAGATGTCTGCGACAAAGATGCACACAAAAATTGTGCCCTGCTCAGAGGAATCAGCAGAGCAGTGCAAAGAGAGGTGGGTGTTTCAGCTCTGTCCCTCAGGGCTGGCACAAGGGTCACCTGTGTGCACTGAGCACTGCCCACACTCTGTGCTGGGTGATGCCCCCCAGACTTGCAGACACGTTCAGGGACCAAGAGCAAGGCCTTTATCAATCCTGGCTCTGTTGGGGTTATGCACAGAGCTCCCTCCTGTCACCTTTTTGTCCAAGAGCTTTAGAACAGAGAGGCTGGTGCCTTCATACAGCCCTGTTTCTTGTCTGAGTCCTCCTGCTCACCAAAGTGCATGGAATATTTTCAGCAAAGGATTTATGGTGTCCATGTGCTAATCCAGCAGTAGTCAACTTAGAATCACACAATGGTTTGGGTTGGAAGGGACCTTAAACTCATCCCATGGCAATTCCCCTGCCATGGCAGGGACACCTTTCACTGTCCCAGGTTGCTCCAAGCCCTGTCCAGCCTGGCCTTGGACATTACAGGGATGGGACAGCCTCAGCTTTTCTCCCAGCCAGGTCCTCCCATCTTCACAATAAAGAATTTCTTCCCAGCATCTAATCTAAACTGCCCTCTGTCAGTTAAAAGCCATCCCTCCTTGTCCTGTCACTTCCCCCTTTGCCCTCCTAGAGGACATTCGTTTAGGAGGAAATGATGCAAGCTCATGCATTGAGAAATATTGGGAGACTGGTTAATTTGATTTCCCATCCCTTTGTTTCTGGAGTGTCTTTCAAGGAATCTGCAGGATTTATTCATCCAATAATAACACAATTTCATTTAATTACAGTGACAGTCCTTGGGAAGAGTAAAGTTTAAGAGGGGGAGTGCTACACAGGGATTTATTCACTACTGTACAGATTTAATAAAAGAATATTGATATAGAAGAACAGAGTGACAAACTTTCTGTCCCAATTTACTTTGCTAGTGGCTGGTTATTGATTTTAAATGTTGAGCTCTCATTTTCACATTCAGAAAGCAGCAACACTTAATGCATCTGCAGAGAGATTGGGAACATTCATTAAACCACACACCTGGCAACCTCAGAAGCCAATTTGAACTCATTGTGTCATGCTTCCAAGCAGATGTCCTAGCTGCACTGGAATAAACTTTGGCAGTACCTTATCCAAAATAATAAACCAAAAATACTCACAATTAAGCATCCATACTCACACAGGTGGAAAGCTCTAATCCATCTACCTTTAAAAGCAGTAACCTGGCACCTGCAGGCTTTAAAGATGCTGGACTGAGCCTGTGCCTTATTCTACTTGAGTTTCCAATATGGAATTTCATATTTCAATACAAGCAATTCAAATTGGAACTTCAAGAATGAAATACAGGAGTTTTGTTTGTTTGTTTTTTTTTCACAGTAGGGACATTTTCGGTCAACTCCAGCAGTTCTCATTTTGAGATAAAGGACGTTCTCACCTCACAAGCTGGAAAAGGGCAAGTCAACTGAAGCAAACCCCTGAAATCTCATCCCATGTATCTCACAGAGGGAAGATAACACACAGTAAAATAAGAACAAGGGTGCTTTCTTTATAGTCACACTTGTACCCCGAAGGACTTGCCATGCCCAGGACAGAGAACAGTGAGCCTGGGTTTGCTTCAGGGGGAGCTGAGGGCTCTGATGGTCATGCCTAGCACCTGGCCCAGAGCACAGCCCTGCCTGGATCCCACATGCCACGTCCAGCCAGGAACATAGCACAGGGAACTATTGATAAGCATTGATAAGGAGTGTGGCAGTCATATTTTCTGGAAAAATCCCTTTGCCCAGGATTTCTCTCCTGGGAAGCTGAGAAGCCTCAGAGAAAAAGGAAAACAATATTATCTCATTTGCTTCTCCTGTGTTTTGCTGCTTTGGAATGTGGTTAGGGATTGTTTACCAAGACGTGATTGTTTCATTGGTTTCATGTGAATTGTTTTGACTCAGTGGCCAATCAGTGCCAACTCAGAGTCACGAGTTTTCATTATTATCTTTTTAGCCTTCTGTAAGTATCCTTTCTGAATTCTTTAGTATAGTTTTAGTACAGCATAATTATAATATAATATAATATAATATGATATTACATGATATGATATAATATAATATAATATAATGTAATGTAATATAATATAATATAATATAATATAATATAATATAATATATCTCATAAAATAATAAATTAGCCTTCTGAGAACACGGAGTCAGATTCATCATTCCTTCCCTCATCTGGGAACCCCACAAATACAATAAAGGGGGGTCCTTTGTCCCACCAGATTTTATCTCCCAAGATTTTTATCTCCCCATTTTCCCTGTGTTTGTGTTGGTGCAGACATTGCCAGGTGTGCCAGCCCCAGGCCATCAAGAGGGACCCTCTCTGTGCAGGGAAGGAGGGGCTGTGCTCTCACCTGTGATGAAGCCCACGCAGATGTAGAGCTGCAAGATGCTGGTGCAGAAGGCAGCTGAGATCATCCCCACCCCACACAGGAGCCCCCCAAACATCACCACGGGGCGGCTGCCGTAGCGGTTCACCAAAATGCTGCTGATGGGACCTGGGGAAAGAGCGCAAGAAGGACCTTGAGGTTGCGTCTTCTGACAGAAGGGCATGCTTGACACAAAGCAGGTAAAGCTCTGCAATACCAATGGCCCTGAGTGCTGCTGGCACAGAATCACACAGAATTTCTAGGCTGGAAGAGACCTTTAAGATCATCGAGTCCAACCCATATTCTAACACCTCAACTAGATCATGGCACCAAGTGCCACATCCAGTCTTTTTTTAAACACATCGAGGGATGGTGACTCCACCACCTCCCTGGGTAGATGATTCCAGTATTTGACCACTCTTTCTGTGAAAAACTTCCTCCTTAATTCTAGCCTATATCTCCCTTGGTACAGCTTGAGACTGTGTCCTCTTGAGACAGCTCCTAGGGAGAGCTCAGGAAGAAAATGGAAAAGCAGAGATCCTCCACATGGAGATGGCAGCATGTCCAGTGCCATGGGTGTGAAACCAGTGACAGCTCCTGCCCCCAGCACTTCAAGTGTCACCAGAGAAGGCAAACAGCAATAACAACTCATGCGAGTCACAGGAGCTTCTTGATTTATGATGATGTTAAACTGCACACACAAGGCAGTGGCTCATATTGTGAGGCCGATATCACAAATGCTGTTGCATTTTTAATGCCTCTATTTAATGCAATTCCAATATTGCTGACCAGGACCCAAGCTTCAGCAGAACAGTTGTTAATTAAATCTTAATAGCAGTCCATGTAGGTAGGAAATGTTGGGGATGATGGATTAGCCAGAGCTCAAAAGAACCAGTTTGGACTTGCATTTATGCAAAGAGGAGGTTCAGGGCAGTGCAAAATTACAAAAGACGGAAATGGCTTGACAAAAACTGTGCACACTGAAACAAAGCATTGAAATCTGAGGAAGTGAGACACCAGTAAAAATCAGAATCACAGTAAGATATATATTGGAGGGACTTTGATGGTACCTCAGGACCAACCTCCTGCTCAAAGAAAAGCCAGGAGGTATGAGAAGCCAGAACTGAGAAGCCAGAACTAGAAAAGCCAAGCTGAACAGGAAGGAGCAGTCCAGAAGTCCAAGCTGTGAGATGTAAAGAAAATATTCTGTATTACTCAAAAGTCCTGAATCAAAATGCTGCAAAAGTGCTACTGGAAATGAGGAAGGGGGATAGAGGCAGATTTAATATCTGAATTTACCTGGCTGTTTGTGGTGGTACTCATCATTCAGCAATGGTGTTTCAGAGCCCAGTGTGCCTGCTTGCCTTCCTTCCTGCCGCTTCCCACACACACACACACAATACTGCAAACTGGTATGTTAAAGGCACAAGGATCTCTGAGGTTTGGCTGTGGCACCCACCTTACCACAGAGACATGGTGGAATATTTACCTGTGCTTAAATAATCTCAGCCAGAAATAGCTCCAGAGCTCTCTCCAGACCCTGCAAACCACAGCACCCCTGATCACAGGAATGAAACCCAGAAACCCCAACCCTCCCTCAGCATGGCTGACAGCATCCAAACAAGCTCTCAGCTGTTATAATGTGCAAGAATAGAAAACAGTAGATATGCCTGGTTTAACCTGGGGAATGAAGCCCACAGAAATATTTTCCATTTGATGTCTGAGGTCAAAACACTCATAAATTAAATGCACACAAGCACAGCCTCACAGATCCCTGTAACTGTGATCTGTGATCTAGTCCCATCAAATGCACCATTCAATTAAAATTTCTGGGTGTCTATAAGTACATGGAGACTTCTTCTACTAATCCTGTAACAGGATTCACACAGGTGCATCCTTTTGCTGCACTACAGAATTCAATGAGAAGTTCTGGGGAAAGGGATATATATTTGAGATCAGCACAGTGAGAAAGACACCTCCTTCTGAAGAGTTTCCCCTGGTCAGGGCCTGAACTTGCATCAGTAATTCAATAGATTGAGCCAGTGCTCCTCAGAAAGGCACCAACATATTCATCTGCAGCCTCAGGGCATGCAACTCTTCCATTTTTCAATTTTCCACATGTCTGCATTTCTGCAGAATCAATCTAATTACTCAGCTAAGAAAATGTGGTTTCCATTACCTTTGCCCACTGGCAGAGGGCTTTCACCCTGTAGGATGCTGTGCCATGGAACAAAGCATTTAAAGCCCTCAATGTTCCTGCTAAGGACAGCAGAGAACCCAGTGGGGATGCTGAGCCTCATCCTGCCGCTGGCTTCACTCAGAGCTGTGCCTGTGGCTCTGCAGCTGCCCTGGCTCTCAGGGACCTGCTCCCCATCACCTCCATCAGCCCATGGTGAGAGCAAGGAGTGCCTGCTCAGAAATACAGTGCACACCCTGAGGCTTCCACTTCTGCCTGCAGCAAAGCTCTGCAGCCTGGAGAGCAACAGTTTGCACCGAACAGCCCCAAAAGACGCAGCTGGGATCATGGAGCCCCTGGAAGACTGATGAAATGTAAAGCACTGCCCTCAGCCCATATAAATCACTCTGGTTTAGTGCCTGTCCTGTTTAAAGCCTCTCTTTTCTCAAACCAGTGGCAGATTTCCATTCTTTGTTGGCTGGTACATGAAAGGCCATGTCAGAGAGGCTGCTCTGGGTGGCAAGAGAAACACAGAGACTCGCAAGTGGGGAATGCAGCAAGCCTCAGCTCATTTGTTAGCTTGTCCAATTACTTTTCACCTTGAGTTTTGTGTTTGCACAAGTGAAAAGGACCCTGAAGAGGAGACTGTAAAGCCATAAAAAAGCAGCAAAAAACCCCTGGGCTCTGCTCTCTTCCCCTCCACAAACCCAGGCCACCCTGTCATTCATTCTTCCTGAGCCACTGAACTATGATCCAGAGAGGATCATAATGCAGAGCTGGCACATAACAAGAAATATCAATCCAGACTGGCATAAACTCCTGCAAGTATGACAGTGCTCAAAAAATAGACACCTGAATTGCCTTCCTGTTTTCCTCAGCAAGCCTTATGAATTTTTTATGAGCTGCAAAACTTCCAGTGCCCGTGTGAAACCCTGATGTATTTCTAATAGGGACTAAAACATTCTCCTCTCCCATACCTCTGACCCAGTGTGTGTATATATATATCCCTTATTTGTAAGGTCTGGTTTGGCTTTTTTTTTTTAACCTAACTAATAGTGTTCCTCCTTTCTGGTGGAGCTTGGCCTGCATGAATTTCTGCTGCAATATTTTTGTGTAGGGCTTTCAAATAAGAGTGAGGAGCTGAGGCCCTGACAATCTGTAGCCCAGAGGCTTCCAGCAATCCAGCTGGGATTTTTCCAGATTTTTCCCAGGTTTCACAACACTGACCTTGTGACAGTGTAAAGTGGCACAGAGCCAGTGCAAATGTTCTGGGTCTGCTGGTCAGACCATCTGATGACCACAACGGTGATAAACAACAACACTTTAAAATACTTTAAAATACTCAACTGCACAGACCTCCACTGGAAGGTTTGGGACCACCAGTGGGGTTGCAACATGCAGCTGAGCTTTTCCTGCTTTTCCACGGTGACAAGTGGCTCTAAAGAACTCTTCCTGCCCAGGGACATTGGCCAGCACCAAAAGGACTGCCCAGATAGTTAATGTTTTCCAAACTATTGTGAAAATACAAATAGGAATTCGGCATGCCAGGATTGCCACTGACTGTGGGGAGTCACTGGGAACATAAGAAGGAATGCAATGTACTCAGAGGAGAGGGAAAGGGGGGAAATCGTTTATACTAATGGAACAAAGTCTATTATTACACCAGTAGTGAAACAAGAACGGGAGCAGGCCTGCAATTTCCTCAGTAATAATCTCACTCCCTCCATGGAATAACAACCCTGCCTTTGGCTTGGTAATTTATCCACCAGGGTACCAGCCCACCATAACAGAGCAACCTCCTCATTACCCCTGAATGAAAGCAAGTGCCCCCACGTTATTAATGAGCTGCCAGACCCCCCAGCCTCAGGAGATGGGGGGGATCAGCAGCAGCAGCTCCTGCTCACAATGCTCAGCCTGACAGGGAGGCAGGCAGAGAAAACACAGGGCCCAGCTGCAAACATGGGGGAAAGGGATGACAGGGTCCAAACCTGCAGCCTTTCACTCTCTGTCATGCCAGAAGAGGCTTGGGTAGCTCATGGTTTGGGTGTTTGTGTCAGCAGGGTGTGGAGAGCTCCTGCTCACCCTCTGAGCCCTGCTCCTGCTGCAGATCCCTGGAGAATAACTGCTGGTACCTGCTCATCATGAAGCCTGATAATTATTAGTCTCAGCTGCTTGGTTCAGGTTTGGTTTTCACCTACATGGGCTGAGAAACCCACAGACCACAGAGCCTTCCTCAGGCAGTGCTGCTGAGGACAGCATGGCCACAATGGGGACAGTGGCAGTGAGTACATACCCCAAGTGACAACCACAGTCTCAATTGTCCTCTGACAGAGCAGCTTCCAAAGACCTGTCCACACCTAAATCACCCAGATGCCTTCTATTAGTGGTACCTTACATTGCAAATAATCAATTTTAAATAAGGAGGCTGAAATCCAGCACATTCCGCAGCAGCTCCACAGCTAGGCTGGCCCCAGAGATGACTCATTTGCTTCCTCACAGGTGAGGAGAACAGCCAGTTCATTTAAGGAGTAATGGCTGCAGCTCCAGCACAACCCTTGTGAGGTGATTCATAAGCCAAGCATGGGAGAAATTGTCTGGACAGACATTATTGATTCATCAAACTGGTCAGTCCCGTGTGCCTGGGCAGGGCTGGCACTGCATTCACTGGGAAGGTAGGGAGGGCAATGATGCACTGCAGAAATCCTCCCTCCCCTGCACCCACCAAGGGTGCCCTTGGGAGCACAGGCACCCTGACCTCCCACCTGAAACTCTGGAACTTGCCACGGCAGCAACCTGATGTAAAAAAAAAATAATAATAAAAATAAGAAGAAGAAAAACAAAGCAGACAAGGCCCAAACTTCAGAAAGACAAAGTGCTCTCTTCCTTATCCAGCAGTCTTATCTGATCAGTGCTCTGGCATTTCAATTTCCACATTACCCAGCTCAGATGCTGC